AAACTGTTAGTGTATAATATATCACTTCAAAATTCTATTGAGGTTGTGTATCAAACAACAGGGAAACATAAGAATAAGTTTTTGTTGTCACCATGTCCACGGTTTTACTACCTAGAAACCTTTTTGGAGGAATGCGTTTGAAAAAGAGACCACCAAAGGACAGAAAAGGGGGAAATGACATGTGATGAGATGAAAATTGAGGTGGAAGTTCTGGAAAAAAATAAAGGCAAAAAATTAGAGGGGGAGGGCTTATTATGATCTGAAGGCAAGGGGGAAATACATGCTGACAGCTTTGGAGCCACCACCAGTCTCTCATGCCTTAAAACAGCATCCGTGGGTCTGGCAGGTGGTTGGTGTCAGATGCAGAAAAGAAGCATATTGGGCAGAACAGGTAAACGCTGTCCAGTATCCACAGAAGCCAGATATAATGAAATGTAGCCTCTCTGTTATGTACAGTAACCTCACCATCAGCTCTTCCATTGACCTTATCTTATTCATCTTGAGAAGCCACTGTCCTAGCATAGGGGATGCCATTTGCTTCCAAAAATCTGGAATGCAAGAACATGCAAAGTTCAGCAAGTAGACTGTCAGTGGACTGTCATGGAAACCTGGTTGACCTGTAACAAATATCCAATAGGATCTGATGCAGGCAGATGCAGAGCAGGTCTCCTATCTTCAAATTGCACTCTATAGTGTCTCGGAACAGCTTGTTGTAGAAGGGTGTAGACCCCTATTAATGTACATCTAACCTTCAGAGTGCTGGACAATGTAACTTAGTCTCAGGCTTGAGATGGAGTACATAAATAGTGAGAGGATTTAGTTTGCAGTGGGAAGCAAACCTAAGGAAGGACTTAGGGAGGAGGCACCTCCTGCTTCACCATGTGTGAGGGCACTTTCATTCAGGGTAACGGTGGTTTTCTATTCCTGCTAAGCAGGAATTGAGAACAGTTAAACTCTGACCTTATGGAACAGAAAGAATACTTTGTTTTCACTAATAGCTGTTGTCACCTATAGGAAATATTTTCAAGATACTTTGTAAGGAAACAGCATTGAATGTTGATAACTTTGATTCATATGGAACCATGACGTGATCTTGGAGTGTGAGTTTATGGAAAGTTTAGAGTTCGGGCACATGGTTTTAGTGTAGTATCTGCAGGGGTCACTGATGTTCAGGGTCTGTAGGGGTTACTGGTTATTGATTAAAGTAATTCTGTTTACATAGTTTACAGTAGAGGTGGATGCAAACACTGAGCCAAGAAGGCAACATCATTTGTTGTTAGTAAAAGGCTACATTTACAAATACAAATGTATAGTGTTTAGTGATAGTACAGTTGTACTTTAAATATTTACAGTGCTGCTCCTACTTATTATGATGTCTAAGGTGTTGGTGAGTAGCCACCTTACCATTTTGGTGCTACACCCAGATCCCAATAGCTCAATCCCAGCCACTCCTCCTATACACACAATGAAAAAAACAATAATAAAGGTCTCTGCATAGTGGAAAGCTCCAAAGCAGACTTGAGGTGAGGATAGAACTTTCCATCATTTTATCACAATAAGGCATCTACTGAGAAAAAACTTCCTTTTTATGATATGAACACATTTGGTTCCATTTAAAAACTGACCTGCTTATTCTGAAATCTGGCATGTTTGTTCATTTTATGAAAAAGATGTTTCATTGTAAAAAAAATAAACTTGCTGAAGACTTAAATATAAGTACAAAGCAAGCAATCTTTAAGCCTTTATATCATGTGGACACATGTGCGGTTGTCGCAAGCATTTACTCAGCTGTCACAAATAAACCCCGCATTTTGACAAATAAGTTTATTTCCTATGATCATTATCTCCATCTTGTAACCACAATGCAGTATTTTCCCCCAGCTTCTTCAGGAATATACCGCATTAAGTCCACTGTATGCTAATTTTTAATAAAGAGTCCTCAAACTGTTCAGATTTGGTTGATGGTAAACAATTATTTCTGCTCAAGCATCTATGTTCTAACACTTCATATGCTTTTTCAGTGTTTCTGAATATGATCCTCATAAAAACTGACTATATGCAGCAATTAACTTATTTCAGGATACCAGAGAGAACTTGTCTATCAAAGAGAAGATGGCTCTTTTAGTGCATTTGGAAATAATGACCCTTCTGGAAGCACATGGTATGTTGCATGTTAAAAAATAATCAGCTATTTATATATCAGAATGATCAATGATTAAAAAACAACACAGATTAAGTGATCTTGGGTGTTTTCCTCTGCTTTTGTCCTCTTCTTTTAAGTCAGAAAAGACCACATTATATGTAATGCATTTAGAAACATTAGACTGTACCCTAATTTTTTTTTACATCCCTGGTCCAACACAGCGATATATCTCTATATATCTTTATATCTGAAAAGTCAGGCCATAATAAAATATAATTTCCAGGTCTCATGTACATAGATTCGTTGTTAGCTGATTTTACTTGTTTACTTCTTGTTATAATAAAAAATGTATGTACTGTTTAACAACATTATATGTATTTTCTTTCTAGAAAGAAACCAGATTGGGTCATTGTGTTGCTTCTGGAGGGACAGTCGGCACTCGGGTAAACGTCAAATGGCAGTATCCTTTATTGAAATGATATGAAATAGCTGTGGAACAGCCATGATGAGCCATGAATATAGCCTGATGGCCAAAACGCGTTGGCTGTTTTGCCGCTTGACGTTTTCCTGAGTGCCGACTCTCCGTCCAGTGGTTTACAGTATATAGAGGCATTGGCATCTGAAAGTGTTAATAGTTAACTAACTTTTGCTTTGTGCCTACTAACTGGTTTATTTTATTCAAGATGTTCCCTTGACATTTAAATGCTGTTGTCTATGCACCCATTTTTTGCTTGCAGAAGTTATTATTCTGTTGCATTTGTTATGACTAGCCATATAGTAGTTTACTGAGATCTTTTTTCTGTATTCTGATTGGTGCTTTATGGAAACCACCTGAAATATGCCGTGTTATCATTTATTACTTAAGGTCTAATCAATATTAAAGAAGTTGAATTCTGCCTCGCACATCTAGGTATTTGTGTCGCAGTGTTCCCAAAGTACTTTGAACTGTATGTCATTGTATGAGAGGAAGAGGGCCCTAAATTGATGTTCCTGACAGCAACCTTTTAGTCTGAGCACTGGGTGGAGCTGAGGCTTGAAAGAAGGTAGCAGCACCACTGCTACTGTTTGCATTGTGTTGCTTCTCCCAATCCCTCTCTGAGTCCTGCTGTACAGACTGAACATTAGATTTCCGAGAGGCTTATACCAAGTCAAATCCAGGCTTGCATTGCATTTAAAAAGTGCATTTAATGATGTATTAATGATCACAGAGTTACATTATTTGTCAATTTTATATCTGCCTAGAGTGTAGCTTTAAAGTAAACTTATCACACAAATTAGAAATTCAAAACTAAGCACAACAATGACAAAAACATAGCTACAAAATCTTTAGAGATTCCAGAGAAAAAAGATGCTGATGTAAATTTTTGCAAACTACAGTATGTACACTTTTTCCTGTACATTCAACCTGTGTCCTTCCTTTTTTCCCTCTAGCTTCTCTATTTTTCATTTTATGTGATAGATGGCTTCACTGAAAGGATTGAAAATATTTAGCTTGACTTTTACAAGAAAAGTCATATTTTTCTAATAGTTTTGAAATGCATTTTTTTTACTAACGATGCATGTAAAATTATTATTTGTACAGTTTGAATGCATCAGGTTTGTCACAGGGTTTTATAAAAGAGACTACAGTAATACAAAATCCAATTCAAATCTATGAACAAAATATGAAACATAACATAATTGCACCTAATATTGGACGAGAATACACAGGCTTATTTTCTTCATTTCAGTTTAAAACTAAAACAATTAAAGAAACGTATTTGAGAACATAGACACAGTGTGCCATTTATACAAAATTTGTCAACTCTTTTGGTGTGTTATCTATTAAAGAGACTTTATAAATAACTTTAGTTTTGTGGAAAAAAATATTACCACATCTTCCCTAGTTCTTGAGAATAATTGCAGCATTCCGTAGAGATCTGATTTCAATGTATACACTGTCCATTTGGCAGTTTTCCTTTCAACCCTAGGGCTTTTCTTTTGATACTAGAGGGTAGTTGCTACCTTGTAGTTCATAATTGGGATTACACCTATGACTTTGTTGGAAATAATACAGCCAGTGGAGTTTTTTTTTAATGCATGTATCTCTTTTGCAAAATACACAACTAAAGAATATTATGCACAATTGCTAGTTTACATTACAGTTCAATTCGCTCATAAAAGCTGGATTTACAGCATATGTGTATACTGTTGATGGTAAATTTAATCTAAACTCTTAAGCCCAGGTTCACACAGATGTTGTGTGGAATTTGCACCGGTTTCTGTGCAATTTCCACACTGCATCGTAATTGCACCCTGTTCATACAAACCGCTGTGGGTGTGTATTTTAAGTTAACAACTCCCTGAGATCAGTTTGCAAAATGCGGTGCGATGTGCAGAATCAGATCCAATTCTGGTGCGGCCAGAAAAAGGGTCCTGCGCTATAGTGGTGCTGATGCATTGCAATTTGAGCCATATAAAATGTGTCACATGTGATTTGCACAGGAATGCAGTGCGGTTCCTGTGCGAATCACATGCAATGTACTGCACCGCATCAGTGTGAACCTTGACTAAGAGTTTGTATATTGGTGTTAAAAATGCCCAGTTACCCATTTACTTTTGTTTACATGATTCAGTGGGTTTCAGTTTTTCTATATTAGTTATTTATCATTCTTTTAGGAGACTAATTGTTGTTTCTGAGTTTTGTCTGTGACAGTTGTTTTTTTTTTAAGGTTATCTGCATTTGTCTTACGGTGCTTTTTAAAAGCTCGTCAGTTTATATTGGTTGATCCTGTAGTACTACATGATACATTGACATGGCTACTGAAGCATCAGAAAAAAAATGGAGAATTTTGGGAACCTGGCAGAGTAATAAACACTCAGATTCAAGGAGGTCGATATAGTCCAGTTACTTTAACTGCATATATAATGGCAGCTCTGATTGAATACCCTGGACTTCTGGTAAGAGATCAATTTCTATATAACTGTCAATTTAAAAACTGTTCTATTTAGAAATATTTCTGATTTACTTTATACCCACTGAATGAATGTTATCAGCCAGCTATATATGTTATACATGGACCTCCAAACAGAAACATTGTCTTTTGGAACAGTAAGCCTAAACCTAAATAACAGTTGGTCACATGACTTCTATGACCTACTTGACAGCTCCACTGTTTGTACTGTGTTTAAACACCGACCCTTACTTGCAAAAGCAGAAAGGGCTGGGCACCAGAAGCAATGTAGCACCTCTCATGTCCTTAATATTTGAGTTGTCCCTTACACTCCCTTTAGATACATGATGTTTACTTACTGTGCACTTATTCTCTCTGTAGAATACACTTATCTTCACAGAAAGGAGCACTCTAGTTGGCTGATTTACTTTGAAGAAGAGAGGAAACTTTGCATTTGCTCTGTTCTGCTTCAAAAACTGCTTTATTCATTTGAACATACTTCCTGAGACACAGTCTTTACAGACGGTATGGCAGCTTTCTGAAATGGTAGAATCCACAATCTGCATCGACTCTCTAAAAAGACTTAGAGTGAAATCCAATGTAGTTTACTGCAGACTTTGAAGACAATAAGGATGTTTTCTGAACATTTCTTGCAGGTGAAAGAGCACCATGGGACAATAAGCCTTTTAATTGTATGGAGGGAGCTCTTTACTTCATGGGGGCAACTAAGTTGGAAGTGGCAGCTAAGGGCTGGTCTAACTAGTGCATAGCAGGTGAGGGGCAGGGGAATTTACCAAGGCATAAATCATAACCCTAAAACCCAATATAATGAGCTGCTGGAGGTAGCACAGGCTCCTTATGTAAGTTTAGAGCATGGAGGCCATAAACTTTGGCAGTAAATTGAAATGTAACTGACATCATGGTAGCTCCTACAACACATAAAAACACAGTACCTCTGCTTATATAATACTTTGGTAACATATTACTATATCCACATGAGTTCTGGGGCATGGCAATATACTGAACATTTCCTGTGTTTCAGTATTCAAGAGGCTTTGGCTGAGGAGGAACTGTTTAGTGAGCAAAGTTTTAAGTGAACATGTGGCTAGGCTGTGAACATGGTGATCATAGTAAATGTCGTTACTGTAAATTAAGTAAAATAGGAAATGCATTCCGTAAAACTGTACATGTGTTCAGCGTGGACCAATGTAACTATGTATAATATACCTGGCCGATACCCTTGGAAGCTGGTAAATCATTGTAGACAATGCAACATCAGTGATCTCCACTTGTTTTTGGGTCCCATGCCGAACGGCTGCACTTCTGCTTACTTAACACAGGAGGTTGGCCCCTTGGCAGGGCCTCCATTCAGTCAATGGTTTTTCATTTTCTGAATGATTCTCTGATTGTAAGAGATGGAGAGGTGGGGCGGTGACATTAAGCCCCTTCCAATCAGAGAACGTTTTGCATTAATTCAGGAAATGATAACCATTCTCTGAATGGCTCCCATGCTGAGTAGCCAACGTCTTGTTTTCACAATGCACCAGGTCAGCTGCTCAGCACAGGACCTAGAAGCAAGTGGAGATCACTGAAGTACGGGTGTCTCCTTCAGTGATTTTCAACTTTGGTTAGGTATGATACATTCATCTTGCTGGACCAATGTATCTATGTATACTATAGCCATGCCTGGAATTATTAATTAAAGGACTTTTGCTCAAACCATTAGAGGTTTGCTTAAGTCAGCCTTGTTTATTTTACTTCAGAATTCTCCACTCCAAAAATTATTGCAATGGTCTAGAAAATATCAGCACTGACTTCCTTGTACTCCAGTGATCTTATTTGTGCTGAAGACTGCGCTGGACTGACTGGATCAGTCACTGGTTGTAGGTGGGTAGTTGTGTGGGTTGGTAGGGAGATGTCCCTCCAGTCAGTTATGCCCAATGGTGGATATTGGCAGTAAACCCTCTTAGGGTTTGGACTGCTGCCTTTTCTGGTACTGCATGAAGGTTGTTTCCACACATAGACTTGGAATAATAGGAAAGAACAAGTGCCCAATGTCCAAAAGAATGAAAGTTTGATAGTAGATTAAGAGGCATTTATTGAGAATAATTATTATATTATACAGTATTTATATAGCGCTAAAAGGTTTGCTCAGCGCTGTACATTATAGTGGGGGACAGAACATGAGACAATACAGTAACAAAACAAAACACAAGTGAGTCAAGGGCCCTGCTCTTTCGAGCTTACAAGCTGACAAGTACATCAAGCCAACGCGTTGGGCGTGAGTCCTTTCTCCCTTCTTCAGGGCTGTTGCTATTAAATTATTAATAAATTATTCAATCTCGAATCACGGTCAAAGTTCAGTTGCTGAAGTAGCAGACAAGATTTAAGGTCAAGAGCAGTCCGTTTTTTATACACATTTATCAGCAAAAGTGATGGAAAAAAAAACACAATCAGTAGTAAAGCTGTCAAATGTAGCTAAAGAGATGAGATACTGCCAAAGGGGAGTTTCTGACTTTGGATCCAGAAACTTTCACCTCCAGTGGGATTAATTAAGAAGAAATAGATCCCTTTTGCAAAAAACTGGATCTTCTGTGACTTAGTCCAAATAAGGGCCTCTAAGTCATGACTACACAGCACTTCTATAAGATCACATATTACATTACAGTATAAGGTATACTTACAGTCAGGGCGGACTGACAACTCATGGGGCCCCCGGGCAATAGGGGATCATGGGGCTCCTGTGTCCTTGCCCAAACTCAAAAAAGCCTATGAAAAAGGTACCAGGGGCATCTCATGGGGCCCCCTACTGACCCCGGGCCCTCAGGCAGTGCCCGAGTTTCCAAATGGTCAGTACGCCCCTGCTTACAGTACATAATGGCTGATTTGCTTCCTTGGGGGGAGGGGTACACACAAAGATTAAATTAACTGGTAAATGTTCAGAATAGAACCCTATGTCAATTCACAGGCAGATAAAGGTTCAGAAATCAGCCTAGTTCGGCGGAGATTCGCAAAGGGGTGAAATAATTTTTTCATCACAATTCATAATAGACTTCCTTTAAATTTAAATTATATTCCAAGCTAAAGTTATTTTTCTTTACTTTGTTCACATCACATATTTTCAGACTGATTCATAAACCTGTAAAAAGGTGTTTTTCTGTTTTACTAAAGCATTTTTAAATTCTGGGCCAAATTGTGAGCTCTGATATAAAAAGTCACTCTTAGGAAACCCCACAGTTTTCCAGCACGTATGAATTAATAGCCTTTGTGTTCATTTGACTAAAAAACCTTGCAGTGACTCTCTCCTAGGTCTTATAAAAATGATTCTTCTTTTGATACTGGGGATTCCTCTACTTAAGGCCATTAAAATGTAATGAAATCATCTGCTTCATACCATGAAGAAGAGGTCATAATAGCATAATTTATATGTGATTTTCTCCACTGATGCAATTTTATAATAGTTTCAGCACAAAAAAATGACATTTAAATTGAAAACATTGCTTATTAAAACGGTGACTTGGAAAATACAGTTCACTTTGTAATGTCTTGTCTGAGTTGTGTTGAAAGGACTTTCCCATTGGTTCAGACAAGTCGTACTTTTTTGGAGACATTACAAAGCAAATACAAATGCACACCAACTGATTATAAGGCTGGAAAATACAATAAAATATCAATACTACAGCAGCATACAAGCCTAATGATTCAACTGACTTTCTAATGTTTCCTAGTAACATCCATCATGATCAAAATGTGCAACTAATATTTTATCCAGGTTTTAGACAAAAATGCAGTTCGCTATGACATCAGTATTCAAAGGGGGGGGGGGGGGGTCAGAACAGTCAGCAGCTTTATTTTGCCAGTTAGTTCTGCTACTGGAAAAAACTAAACACTATTGAAACATGTCACATCTACTTCTATAACTCTAGAATGTGTAGCCATATAGCTCATGGAATTTTACAAATATACATATATATGCAAAGGGTTCTTAACATTCATCTGCGCTGAAATGTACTGTATGTGATCACCTTTGAACAGTGCAGATAAGGAACTCTTGATTTCACTGACATCTTAAATCAATAATGTACACCTGTCAGGACAGAAATGTAAAGCTGACATTGCTGACAGGATTGTCATGTGTCTCTTGGCATTAATACCAAGTGTGTTATTGGCACAGAACAATCATATGTAGTTCAAGCATACATGTGCATGCATGTTTTAAGTCAGTTGCAAGCCAAACATAAAGAAGGATTGGATGACAACCTTTGGTCATGCACCTTTAAAAATATGCCAGAAGTGATAATTTCATATTTTTATTTCTATTGGAGTATTTCAAGTGCATTCATAAGCAGCTTATGCAGTTACTATTCTGAAAAAAAGGCATTCCCAAATCTAAGCACACTGAAAATCAGGAAACAATCAAAATCAATATACAATATCTAGAATTATCAGGGAACATAAAGGATATCTGTGCCAAGCATTGGCACATTCTCAAGGAGGATTCTTCAGTTGAGAAATATATTAACAATTGTCCGAATCTAATTTAAACACAGGCCAAATCTCTAGCAGACCTACTGGTCCACAGTGACATTAGTTGGTCTCCTCCTAAGCTACATTTGTCACCAGGCATGCATAGATGTGTCTGTTGTGATGTCTGCCCCTATGTGATTGAGGATGACAGTTTAACTTTGCCGACCGGCAGGGTCCTCAGGTGCAGACAGAGAGCCAATTGTGGCTCGTCTGGAGTTGTATACATTATTCTCTGTGCCTGCTGATCCTTCTATGTCGGCAAAACTATTTGTACCATCAGCAAGAGATTCCAAGATCACTTCTATGAGATTTCCATCTATCACCTCAAATTTCCATTGGCAGAACATGTATGTCTTAAACATAATAGTGACCCAAAACACCTCCGATGTTGGGTATTAGAGGTTGTCCCCCATGACTCTAGGGGGGGAGACTTCGATAAAGTGGTACATGAGGTGAGGTGGATATGGGAGCTTGAGGCTACAAAACCTCCAGGTTTGAATGAAAACCTTAGTTTGAAAATGAAATGAAAACCAGCTTAGAGCTCTCCTCCTTTTTCAATCTTTGTCTCCCTAATTTTTTTTTTTTTATATATATTTAGGTTTTGTTCTCTCTTTGATCTACATTTTGTACACAAACACAGGGCTGTGTGGTCTTTGGTGTACCATTTTGATATAAAACTTTTTAGTGATGTTTTTAGTGTTGATGTATTTATGTGCTATGTGCTGGGTGTTCTCTTGGCCTCTCCCTTTCCTCCTCCTTTTGGATTCTCTCCTAGTAAGGAGGAGGATTGGGGAGGAGGCTAGATTGGCCCTCATTGGATAGTTCGTAATACTGTTTAAATGTGCATGTTTCTCTGAATTAATTACTGTTTGTTTACAAATGTCCACTAGATGGTGCACTTGATATCCTATGTGGACTGTATTGCCATTCTAAGTATATATGTGGGCTTTATTCCACTGCGCATGCGCATGATGTCACCACGCTCGCTGCGTCACAACGCTGTTACACCCTGTGCATGCGTAGTTGAGACAAGGTAGCCATTTTAGGCACCCAATTCAGAAAGAGCATGTCAAACAATTTTGAGCCTACCTCTGAGGTTGTACCGGCAAAACCGGTCAGGATTGGGCTGTTACCACAAACCCAGGCCCCCCCAGGGAACTTTTAACGGATCTCTAAACATGATAAGTACTACAACTCTACCTTAAATGCTCCTTTGATGCTCTAACTTCACTATCTTTGGAAAAGAAACCTTTTTGCTGGTCTACTGATACACATTCAAAGGGACTGCCTATATTGTTCTTGCTTTACTCTGCCTAAAAACATCACTCTGCTAATTTTGGAAAAGACTTCTCTACTGATGAATATTATGCATTTAAAGGGACTGCCTTATTATTATGCATTTAAAGGGACTGCCTTACTATTACTCAACTCTGTAGTATACCATAGGTCTACTTCAAATGCTCCTTTGATGCTTTAACCTCACTATCTTTGGAAAAGGAATCTATTTATCGATTTGCTGAAATGCATTTAAAGGGACTGCCTATACTGTCATTGCTTAATTCTATCTAAGAATATTATTCTGCTAAACTTTGGAAGAAACCTCTCTGTTAATGAGCATTACATACCAAAAAGAGATTGCTTTATTGTTATTCAACTCTGCATAATACACTGTTCTTACTCCTTCACTTTATCAAATTTGGAGAAGTTTCATTCCCAAGATCACCAAATTAAATCAAGAATCCCCTATGGATGGACCCAGGACAAGGATGTTTTCCATTAATGTATGAGGGAGGTTTTTTTTAGTTTTTTTTTCTCCCCTGGATGGCGCCCTAATATTAGGCGCCAGAGGGAGGTGAAGCCTTTTTGCTTTTACAGCTATATTATCAACAGTATCCTCCTCTGGACTACATGTGTTTGTTGATGCATTATCTAGAACTGCCTATTTTCATCTATAACATGACATGTTTGATTGTCAGTTTAGTGTAAGAAGGAGGCTCATACAGTTTACAGTACCCTCCCCTGGAATACACAACTTCATCTATGGGATTTTCACTATATTTTCCATTTATGGTGATCTTGTTTGGCAGAGGCATCACATATGATACAGAACATGTTCCCTTTAAGGAGGCCTGTGAATGACCAGCCTTTGTAATTTCGTATATGGGGCATATGCATTATTGGTGGAGAAAGATATTATTGTTACCAACTGATCTGTTTATTAATGGGTACTCCCCTTCGGGGGTTGTCACCGGGACCTGTGGAGTGTGGTAGGATTTTTTCTATTTTTAGAAATGTCTATGTTGAATAAAGAAATGATTTTGTGCCGCTGACCACCAGCCCTTTTTTAAATTATTGTTTTTTCAATATGAATACATTTAAACAAACCCAATATTCTGGTTGAGTCCACAACTAGCAGTATTTTTTTATGCAGTTTCTCCTTATGTTGGTGACTAGGGACTCCCGGTTTACTTGATAATAGTAACACATTTTTGGGGACCTTGAGGCTTCTTTTTTGGAGGTTTTGCAACACTGAAAAAGTAACCATTCCGTCTCCTAATAAAGTTTTGCACACATACAAATATTTTTGTGGTTTTTTTGTCACAATCATTTACCCTTATATGATCCACTGTCATGAATCTGTCATGAATTATCCAATGAAGTTAGTATAAATTCTATACCTTTAGGCGCCCTAACCATTGCCATAAACAGACAAATCTCCAGTTATCCCAAATAGTGCTACCATTACCCACTTGACCACTAGAAGGTTTTACCCCCACTATGACCCAGGCATTTTAAGCTATTCAGCACTGTGCTACTTTAACTAGCAACTGCTCGGTCATGCAACACTGTACACAAATTCCATTTTTAGCATTTTTTTCATACAAATAGAGATTTATTTTGGTGGTATTTAATCACCACTGTTTTTTTATTTCTTTGCTATATAAATTAAAAAAATATTGAAAAATTAAAAAAAAAAAAAACTAATTTTTCTTACTTCCTGTTAGAAAATAATCTTTGTTCATAGATTTAGCCAAAATTTAGTCTGGTACAATTCTTTGGTAAAACTAATCCAAATCAGTGTATACTAGTCTGTGTGAAAGTTATAGAGTCTACAAATTACCCTTTTCGGAAAGTCAAAGGTATTTAGTAAGAGACATGGAAGTTGCAAGTTTTGTGTCACATTTTTTGGGAAAATGAAGAAATTAAATAAATTAAATTAAATGTGTTTTTTGCACATTTTTTTTCATACTGTCACCAGTGCAGTACTGTGTCATCATATATGACTGGTGTGGTGTGATCAGAGATACTAACTGGTGAGAGTATGTAAAAAAAAAATGTAAGTAATTATATCAATTTTTTTTTTATTTTTTTACTATTTTTTACATACTGTCATCAGAGTAGTTCAGTGTCACTATAATAACACTGTACTACTTTTTTTTGGGGGGGGGTGGGAGGGTAATCAGGGATTTGTTTTTACACTGTGAGCATCACTGTTATAAGCTATAGCCAAATGTCATGAATGGCTTTCTATGCTTAAGCTTTCTATGCTAACTATTGACATGATGTGATTGGCTACCATATGATAGCTGTGGGCCAATTACAGCTTCACAACAGCAAGCATGCAGTCATGAATGGAAGCCATTCATGACTGTTTTATTTGCATTGTAATCATGTGATCATAGCAATCACATGATACCCTTGCCATTCACAGCTGTTGGGTACCAAGTGTTGTGATCTGCTGTGTCCAACAGACACAGTGGTCACGGGATTGTGTCACTGCTTCCAGGGGGCGCTAGTGCAAAATGTGCCTACTTTTGTTAATAGCATAAACGATGCACAGAGAAGCCATCCAAATATTAAATGTCATTGTTTCTCAATTTATATTGTACACTGATGTGTCTTAGGGCATTTTTTAACTGCAGTCAAGGCAAGCATAGCATGCATTGTTGCATGCATTGTTAATTGTTTTTTGAATGCATATGCACACATACTGTATCACTAAATATTATGATTGCATTTTGAACATGGGTAACAACAATTGTGTTATCACACAATTTACATATTTCAAGCACATTCAACCGTATACTATCACAGATTGTTATAATATGCTGTATACAGAATGTATTATACTAATTTAAGAGGGCAATGCAAAGATCAATAATAAGCAAAGAGAAGTTATCCAATGATTGCAATGAAGTTATAACTTTCTTAAAGTATACCTAAAGGCAGCATGTGTTGTTGTTTTGGATAGTGGATTAGAGGAATTAAAACACTCTTCTGTTCTATAGATAGGGAGATTCACCCTCTCTATTTTTCCTGTTTACTGTTACCACCAAGTCTGAAAGGGAAAGAAAATCCCAAATTTTGGGTTTTCACCACAACAAGAATACAGGGGAAATCTTTCAATGAGGACACTAGTTCCATTGAGCCTGGTGACAACCAGGGATTCCCTCACTTTGAAGGGATTTCTTCTCACTTCCTGATTTGAGTATTGGACAGGAAGTGAACTGAAATCCCCCTAAATGGACAAAGATGGAGAAGGTCTATTGTTATTGACCAGGGAGCCTGTTCAGTATTTTGCAGGTCAAAGCAAACTGACTTTCAAAATACTATACAACAAATTCACAACAAAGTGAAGTCTTATTGATGTGTGAACTGCTGTAAATGGTTTTTCTGTTTTTTTTTTTTACTGCTTGCTCGCTGCCCTATAGTAGATGTACTGCTACAGGGTGGCATGTCTGCATAAACTCATGTGTATATATATGGGGCTGTTCGCTTTGTCAAAAAAGAAGCATGTATATTTTTCTCTTGGCTCTTGAATGGTTCTAAAAAATAAGTATGTACGTGATGAAAGTGAAACTTTGTATCATTACAGGTTTGAGTAGATTTGTGTGCTGTAAATGATTCATTTAATTTGCCCATTTTGGATCAGTATTAGACAAAAGTAAATATCATATCAAGAACTGCATTTAAGAACTACTATTGTAAAAACACAAAATATGAATGTCTTTGCATAAATAAAATCTCTGTATGCTTTTCCAGAGAAATGTGACTTCATTTGTATTGTTTGATACAAAACAAATGTTTTTCTCCCCAGAATTCTACTCAAATGACAGCTGCAACAAATTACATGGAGTCTCAGCTGAATGAAGTCATTTCTGATAACTACACCCTAAGTGTTGTGACGTATGCATTATCATTGGTTGGAAGGAACAAAGCTAAAGAAGGACTAGACATTCTAAACAATCGAGCAGAGACTGAAGGTAACCACACCGATGCATTGCCAGTGTTGGTCAAGAATATATGTTGCCTTGTACTGGCAATTATTCTAACCAGATAGCATTAGTAAAGCTGATCTGACCCCTGGCAACTTATAAGAATTGCAATAACAATGTTAGGACATTTTGGATGTGCAAAAACATTTTTTTAAGCATGGGCCAAATATCAGAGGTAATAATGTATAGATGCCAAGCAGAATTACATTGGTCTGCCTACTCAAAACTGTAATTCTTATTGTTTCAATAAGTTACTCAATAGGTCACATTCTATAATGTTGAAATGAAAGAAAACGTACACTCAGATGTTTTCTACCAACTTTGTGAATTGGTCAGTAGAATTAGCATTGCCTTTTCCTCTGGCTATGAGCCTGATTGACATTCTGCTGATACTTTTCTCCAGTATGTTCCTATTGGGCTTTCAAAAAAGCTGATGAGCGGTGAAAATAAACTGTTGTGAGGGAAAAGGGGTTGCCATAAGCAAAAATAGAACAGAAACAAGCCACCTAAAATGACACAAATAGCTGGTGTCATTGTCATATCTCCGACTCACTTATACAAGTGTGGATCCATAAACCCAAGAAAATGCATGCCAAACAATATGGTAGTGTGACAAGGGCACTCCTACCTGAAAAAAGAAGGTTACTAAATGATCCACGCGGAGTAATATGGATTCAAAAAATCCAGGCAATACTTTATTTGATCACATAGATCATAAGGAGGTTAAACATGAGCACGGTGAACATGTCAAACAAAATAAAATCATGTTAAAAAGCACTTGGCGTCTTCATTATAGGGTCATCTTAGCAAGTAGAGCACCATATAAGGCAATATAGAGTAATGGTGAGGTAGTTTCGCCTAGATTTCCATGGATTTCCAGCTTATATTGGAGTAAGCCATGTATTCAGCAGATATGTTCCCAATATATGTCAGGAGCCTCCTGGTATATGGAAGCTGGAATACAAAAATACACAATGTGTATAAGAAAATGTAAGAGCTGAATCGCATCCAAGCCTCACCAAGCCTCCCTCTACAGTAATTCGTGGACACTTCTATTACCTTCTCAGTTATGAGACTGTCATACCGACATCTCAAATGTAGGGACTTCCTGGGTAGCCACCCCAAGTGAAACAAAGTCCACAGTACCAGATGATTCTGAGGATATATATAAAAAGATAGGTGTATATATCACAGGCATCAAGTAATCCCTGAAAATAAGAACCACAATATGAGTATATTACCATCAATAAAGATCAAGAAGACTCCCGTCGACTTGAAATAGGATCAGGTCCTTGATGCTTGTTTAGAGATGTATAAGGGGGTGGGAAGCCAGGTAGTCACAATACGTAAATTCCAGACACATATAGTGTATATATAGCAGGCCGTGTGTACCTGAGTCTATATACCCAATGAAGGGTTTCCAAAAATTACTCAATCTGAGAAAATTTAAGCGGTTTCATTAGGATATGGCTATGTCACAGCATACAGTGCCAAAAAATAGGATAGCGTGTATATATATATATATATTATCCTCCAAAGAGGATTTCCAAAAAATTCCCTGAGTATGCAGGGTAAATTAGGCCCGTATAACATGCCTTCTTAACTCCATAAATGCTCTATAAATCTAAACAGCTGTAAGCTTAAATAACTTGCCACCGGTGGAAGGTATATTCCCCTGGGGGATTGCCGTTTGCGAGCCGCTGTAATAGTAGCCTTATGGTAGTTTTTCAGAGGGCCTCGTGCCTTCCTAGCAAGGAGCTGTGACACCGCCGTTCCTTCCCACCTCGTGGGCGCCGCACCCTGTGAAGACGCCGAGCGTAGTGACGTCAATACGTTGACGCGTTTCGTCCGCCAATCACCGCAGACTTTGTCAGTCTGCGGTGATTGGCGGACGAAACGCGTCAACGTATTGACGTCACTACGCTCGGCGTCTTCACAGGGTGCGGCGCCCACGAGGTGGGAAGGAACGGCGGTGTCACAGCTCCTTGCTAGGAAGGCACGAGGCCCTCTGAAAAACTACCATAAGGCTACTATTACTGCGGCTCGCAAACGGCAATCCCCCAGGGGAATATACCTTCCACCGGTGGCAAGTTATTTAAGCTTACAGCTGTTTAGATTTATAGAGCATTTATGGAGTTAAGAAGGCATGTTATACGGGCCTAATTTACCCTGCATACTCGGGGAATTTTTTGGAAATCCTCTTTGGAGGATAATATATATATATATATATATATACACGCTATCCTATTTTTTGGCACTGTATGCTGTGACATAGCCATATCCTAATGAAACCGCTTAAATTTTCTCAGATTGAGTAATTTTTGGAAACCCTTCATTGGGTATATAGACTCAGGTACACACGGCCTGCTATATATACACTATATGTGTCTGGAATTTACGTATTGTGACTACCTGGCTTCCCACCCCCTTATACATCTCTAAACAAGCATCAAGGACCTGATCCTATTTCAAGTCGACGGGAGTCTTCTTGATCTTTATTGATGGTAATATACTCATATTGTGGTTCTTATTTTCAGGGGTTACTTGATGCCTGTGATATATACACCTATCTTTTTATATATATCCTCAGAATCATCTGGTACTGTGGACTTTGTTTCACTTGAGGTGGCTACCCAGGAAGTCCCTACATTTGAGAAGTCGGTATGACAGTCTCATAACTGAGAAGGTAATAGAAGTGTCCACGAATTACTGTAGAGGGAGGCTCGGTGAGGCTTGGATGCGATTCAGCTCTTACATTTTCTTATACACATTGTGTATTTTTGTATTCCAGCTTCCATATACCAGGAGGCTCCTGACATATATTGGGAACATATCTGCTGAATACATGGCTTACTCCAATATAAGCTGGAAATCCATGGAAATCTAGGCGAAACTACCTCACCATTACTCTATATTGCCTTATATGGTGCTCTACTTGCTAAGATGACCCTATAATGAAGACGCCAAGTGCTTTTTAACATGATTTTATTTTGTTTGACATGTTCACCGTGCTCATGTTTAACCTCCTTATGATCTATGTGATCAAATAAAGTATTGCCTGGATTTTTTGAATCCATATTACTCCGCGTGGATCATTTAGTAACCTTATTTTTTCAGGTAGGAGTGCCCTTGTCACACTACCATATTGTTTGGGTTGCCATAAGCAAACCTTTCTCCTCCAGTGTTCTATACTATTCTAAGCTGACATTCTAATTTGGTATTTTAGTTAATTTGTAGTTACATTTATACATTTTATACAACCATTTTTGTTTTATAGTCTATGAAACTGACAATAGCATGGCTTGTGATTATAAAACTTGGAATTTGTAAAAAAAAATACTGTACATCCATTGTGTTATTTCCATCACAAGGGGGATATTTTCATGGAAGATATATATATATATATATATATATATACATATGCCATGATAATAAAGAGGTTAATATAATAATAGTCATATAATCAAAGTCCATGCAAAGTAATGTGTCCACCACTGTGTAATACTTTCCAAATGATGGTGCTCTTCAAACATATATAAAAAACACGCAAGTGCTCCTTCCACCATGGCACATATGCGTGCTTACCACAATGAATGTGACCCTCAACCTTAGAGAAGTAAAAACATGCTTTATATGAAGATTATATGTTCCAAAGCTTCACTTGGATATCGTGAGATTGCAAGGCTGGGTTTGGAAGCTGCTGTCAGACAGCTGAAAATGAGAAATATCCCACACACAGGAAGTTGGATTCTTTGCCAATGCCTATAACTTAGCAGTTATTATTAAATAAAACTATTTGATCATAGGGAGTTATAGTAATTATAAAACTATCTGTATTACATTAAAGAGGAACTAGATTCTACTGTGTGCAGGTTAGCTTGTACCATAATTAAACTAGCACATTATGGCACACTTACCTGACACAGTGCTTTCCTCCTGTGGAACAGGGCTAGTCTCAATACAACATTCCATCTGAAGCCAGCACCATCTCCCCTGCAGTTTCTTCTAGGTTCTGCAACACTGTTCTTCATCCATTGACAATGTAACTCTTGCACACGTGCACAGGAGTTATTTCATTTCAGGGACCCAACTCTATTCTGAGCATGCTGTGCAGTGTACATTCTAAAAGAAAAATTGCTAAAAGTGTGGGGAGATTTTTTTTAGCAAAAGAGTCTTTCCTTTGCAAGAAAAACCAAAAAAACTGTAACTCTTTAATGCCTTTAATTCAGATTTACATTTTAAAGCTGATCTCTGGAGAACAAAAAAATTACCCTTGCTGTGGGACTTCCCTTGCTCCGTAAGGGTTAGATGCTTATTTTTGCTTAAGGTGCCAGTTAAAAGCACTTATCTCTCTTTCCTTCTTCCACATGACCAGAAGGTGGGTCACTGAACTCTCGCTGGGCCCTAGACTCCTGTCTAGGTTTCCTTGCAGGTAATTGGCCCTACTTTCTGAGTAAACTCACTATTTCAGCAAAGGTCTGGACTGAAGGCAATACATTGCTGTTTCCTTGTAGTATTTTTAAATTGGCTAAAAAGGGTTGATAGAAAATGCTACAGTTCCCTTAGAAGTGCCCAACCCCTCAGACTAGTACAGCCATGCCTTCAACTCCTTATGAAATTATATATTCTGTATTATGTTGTTTACATTGACTGTTAACATGGAACATATTGTTTACCTACAGGTGATTTAATGTTTTGGAAATCTAATGTCCATACAGTTTCTGGATGGTGGCAGCCAAGCTCTATAGACATAGCAACAGCTGCTTATATTTTAATGTCCCATGTAATTCAGAATCGAGTGTCTGAGGGGGGATAGCAGTAATGAAATGGTTATGCCAGCAGAGGAACTCCCTAGGAGGATTCTCTTCCACTCAGGTTTGTTACAGTCACCTATAATCAGTGCAGTGACCCTGCATTATCAAACTTTCCTTGTTCATATCATTTTGTAAATTGGATTAAATACTTTACAAACAGATTGTTGTTGCTTGGTATAGGCAACAAATGCTTGACAGCAAACATATGGGAACATTTACTAAAGTTGGTGCATACAGATTGTTCAATTAGGCTTTGACAATAAAACCTAAAAGCTGATCAATTACTATGCACAGCTGCATCAAATTCTGAGTGCACCAGTTTTAGTAAATCCCCCCCATAATATCTTTTTTTCAACTTTATTTCAATGATTACTATATTACTGTATATTTATTATCAGTCATCGCATCAAAGCATATATTTTAGTATTTAGTACCATATTAAGTATTTAGTACCATTTTAGATGCAACTGTGTTTTTATTGTACTTTTAATATAAGAGAAAATAGCACAAATATCAATAGGTTGTTTCTAAGTATATATATAAAAAAGTTAAGAAGATCTTGAAAAATACACAATTAATGCTTATTTTGCTTGCATTCTAATTTCAAACAGGATACCATAGTAGCTTTGCAAGCAATGTCACTATTTGCATCTAGGTACTCTATAAGCAAATCAGCGTTACACATATTAGTGGAAGGAGACCAGATGGCTTCTACAAGTTTCACAGTCAATTCAGGAAACCGCATGCTACTTCAAACTAAACCGGTAACATTCATTATTATTGGTATTTATTCATTATTAGTAATTGTTATTGGTAGATGTAGCTGTAGGTTGGCAGACCCATGGGTCATCATATTTAAAAAGTATCAGATGGGCCACTGCATTAAATAACCTACAGTAAGTAACCATACATTTTTAATGCCGCAGTCAGGCTTGGTTTTGGATGTATTAGATAGCCTTTTTGAATTACTGGAAAAAATAGGCATAAATTAAGGTTCCATGAACACTTCCATGACTGATAAGATATCCTTATATTTTGTGGAGTAGACTGTTAGTATTAAACACATCCTTTAGGCCTGGTTCACACCAATGCATTTTTTGTGCTTTTTGTAGAAACGCACTACAGTCCATTTAACATGGTTTCCCATGGGACATGTTCACATTTATGTTTTTTGGAGCAGCTGCATTTTTGGAAAGGGTCAGGGACTTTTTAAAATTTTATTTGTATTTATTACAGGTATTTATATAGCGCTGTCAATTTATGCAGCGCTTTACATGTATATATTTATTGTACATTCACTCCAGTCCCTAACCCTCAAGAAGCGTACAATCTAAGTCCTTAACTTACATTCATACATATCCATACAAGGGCCAATTTAGACAGGAACCAATTAACCTACCAGTATGTCTTTGGAATGTGGGAGGAAACCAGAGTACCCGGAGTAAACCCACGCAGGCACAGGGAGAACATACAAACTCCAGGCAGGTGGTGCTGTGGCTGGGATTCGAACCAACAACCCTAGTATTGCCAGGCAATATGCAAAAAGCAGCATTTTTGCTACAGTTCAATGGGAAGCTGCTGAAATGCATGTAGTACGTTTTTGCCATATTTTTTGCCATTTTTTTTTTGCAGTGTTTTGCATTTTTACTCTGGCCAGCGACAAAAAAAGTCCCCTTTAAGAAAAAAAAAGCTGAAAAAAGTGCATGCAAAAATGCAAAACAGCACTGCAAAACAGACAAAAAGCACAATGCATTGGTGTGAATCAGGCTTTAGAACGCAATATTGCTGATAAAAAATATAAATAGATTATACACACCAGCTGGATAGTCAGATATACAAAATATAACATCATTTCTATCAAGTATGAAATATTGGAACATTTATCCACAGGTTCATCCTTTTCAGTCATTTGTGTGTGACAAAGTATAAAATCATAAATTCAATATTTAACCCTTTCGCTACCAGAACACTTTTTGATTTTTCATAAAATCTGTTAAAATCTGCATTTGGCTAGAAAAAAATTACTTAAACTCCGTAAAACATTATATAGTTTCAAAAGCAGAGGCCCTGTAAAATAAAAAAATAATAGTTGCATTTTTTTATTTTACACAATACGTGCACAACTCAATCCAGGAAAGCAAAAGTGTACAAAAATACACTTAAAAGGAATTTTTGTGCACACAAAAACCATATAATCTTCAATTTTGTGTACAAAATAAATGATGAGTCTGTGTTAAGTTAATAGTTCTAAAATATGTCACGCTTCAAAATTGAATGAACCCACGGAATGGCAAAAACGTAAGATATATATTAATGGGTATATATATTTGTGGGGCAATGGGGCTGGTTTTAATTTTTTTTTTTGGATTATTTTTTATGTTATTTCTATCACATGAGACTAATAAGCCACCATTGTGATAGCATTGAACAGGTTACTACTTGAGGTCTCTCCTGCCCTCTGTGCCGGATGATTGAGCTCTGAATCTGTTCAATACTTCTAGGATTCACACTCTGCAGTGGACATTGAGGAATGGATGTTTCTCAATATCCTTCTTTTCGCCATCCTGACAATGTTTAATTTGTTCTTGGGCTCCCAGAAGTAGTGGGAGCAGGGGCGTATTTACCACAAGGCAAACAAGGCATTTGCCTAGGGTGGCATTTTTCAGGGGGGGCAGCAGCATTTTTCCCCAAAGGAAGAGATGGAAGAAGGGACACATGCAGCATGGGGACCAGGTGGGATCTGAGAGAGGTTGCGAGCTGCTTGATGGTGTATGCAGAGCCTGACTCTTGTTACCAGAAATGTCCAGATCTGTGAAGGTGAGTGTCTTCTCTCTTGCCGGGGTGGGGTGGTGGGTTGCCAGTGTATGTGGGGTGATGGTAGTGGAAGGCTCTCTCGGGTGGGGGTGGGGGTAGGGGGCTGGGGTGTTGTTGGTCAATGTCAGGCTCTCTTTGTAGGGGAGGGGTGTGTTAGTCAGTTTCAGGGTCTCTCCATGGGTGGGGCAGGGAGCTGATTTTTGTGTTGCCTAGGGCAGCATGAAACCTAAATACGCCACTGAGTGGGAGAGCCTAAGAATAAGGAAACAGGAGTGTCTAGCAGCGTGGGGGTGCCACTTGTGAGTCCTCTAAGAGTAATTTTATGGCTGTACGGCTGCCCAGATCGCCTTTACTAAATAGCCCTGAGCCTGCTGAAAAAATATAGAAACAAACTCACAACTTCTTGTGTAGCTGTGAGCTCATTTCACCTCAAAGCCAAGATGTTGGCTTATGTTCCTGGAAGCTAAGTGGTTAACAGTCCTACACTGCACACACCCACAAACACCCACACACACACCCAAACAAAACACCAAAGAGTCAGTCCACAACTTATCAGTGTGCTAGAATAGGATGCTTATGGGATGCTGAGAGGAACATACAGTATAAGGCACCACATGTGATATAAAGATATGAGGAACTGCATGTAATATAAAATTATAGGGCAGTGTATATGATAGAGAACCATGAGGCACTGAAGGTGATATTGAAAGTAGAGACACTGCAAATAATAAAGGGGTATGTAAAACTACAGGGTTGATTTACTATAGACAAATAGGTTGTGAACTTTGCATGTGCAGTTGAACTCTGCAAGTGCAGTTGCTCGAGAGCTAAGTAAAAGAGGGGAAGCTCTGCTGACTTCCATCATCCAATAATGTGCAAACAAAAATTATTATTATTATTTTTTAATTTTCCTTGCATTCAGTGTTGTCACATCAAAAGATAGAATCAAATATTTAAAAAAATGTGAGGGTTAAGGAGTATTGTTTTGTAAAGTGAAGCTGTTCTCTATTTACTAAGCTCTTGAGCAACTGCACTTGCAAAGTGCACAGTCTGTTTGCCTTTAGTAAATCAACCCTTGTGAAATATAAACTATAAGATACTATGTGATACAGTAGTAATAGACACTGCAGATAATAGGGATATCAGACGCTCTGGGGTTGATTTACTAAAACTGGAGCGTGTGAAATCTGGTGCAGCTGTGCATGGTCGCCAATCAGCTTCAAACTTCACCTTGTTCAATTAAACTTTGACAGTAAAACCTGGAAGCTGATTGGTTTCTATGCAGAGCTACACCATATTTTGCACTCTCCAGTTTTAGTAAATTAACCCCTACATGTAGAGGAGAGGTATGGCTAAAGTAGTAATACAGGGAGGTATTGGACACTATATGCAAAAGGAGGCACTGCATATAACAGAAAGGTTTGAGGTGCTGTGTATAAAAGATAGATATTTAATTGCAGATATAGGATTTGTTTTTATGAATATGTGATTCTCTAGCTTGGAGGTAACTCTGTTCCAAAGTGAACTCACAATAACATTACTTTTTTACTGGTGATACAGGAAGTCAAACAGAGTTAGTTTTAAAGCATATAACAACCTAGTAACTGCCCGTAAATATGGCTGGTCTAAAGTGTTACTAGGTTTTCACACCAAGTGTTTCTTTTCAGATAACTGTTGGAGAAAATATCAAACTTCACATTAATGCAAAGGGTATTGGATTTGCCTTGTTGCAGGTACTTTTTTTCTCAAAGTTGTTAATTTTCTTTAGATAAACTAAGATGGCTAAGTATTCACTGTTCTTGCAGTCTTGTGATTTTAAAACTTCTTATATTTTAATATTACAAAATATATATACTTTCAGTGAGCTTTGAACTTCATGTAAACACCTATTAATTTCTAAGCTGACCGTTTGTAATGATATATACAGTATATATAAATAGAATACATTGTAGCTTATTTATGAAGGAAAAAAGCAACATATAAAGGTTAGGAACCAGCAGCAGTCCACCAGATATTATTTGCTTTGGGGATAAATAAAATATGCTTACTTTAGAATTCTACATGCACAATGTTAGATGAACAGGTTGAGGTTGAGCCACTCGCAGGTCTTGCAGCAGTATATACTGTATTTTAAAACACAGGTTTTATTTATGTCTGATGCTTTTATGGGTCTCGGCCAATGTGTATCAAAGCAACATCTACATGAATTGTGCAAACAGATATACCCACAAACCTCACCCCATCCAGCCACCTGTGATGACACCACTACCAGTGAAATAAAAGTAGCTATTATAGGGGGTAACCAATGGCAAGCACAAAACATTCCAAATATTTGACTAAACAACAAAAAAGTCATGAAAGCTCAATCTAAAAATCAAAAAGCTAACATAATATAACAGAAAATGAGTCAGCTAATGCATCAAAAGAAAATCAAAACAAAATATAAGAAAATGTAGGGGCTACATGGAGTCATCAGTATCATGGCCATCATAGAAACCACCTCCTGGATCCAGCAGTAAAAACAGAGCTAATTATTAGACAGGTTGCTCTCTCAGCACACAGCTACATCACTTTATCTATTTATTTCATACAGAGAATCTGTTTGTCAGTGTATTGTTTTTATTAAATAGATTAATTTTATGGAAATTACTGCACTATAGATTTCTCTGTTGTTTCTGCATAGGAGAGCTAAACATGGGATGAATAGAGATTTGGATACTAAAGTGAACCATATAGTTTTCAGATTTTTTAGAGAGTCACTATCCTGCCATTTGGAGTCTTACAGAATTTCAAGAAAGTGCATTAGATTGCCATTCAAGATAAATGGCTCTGCAGTACAACAAATTGCAGGGCATGTGTTAACATGTATTAGTTAGTTGGATAATAGGTTTGTTTGTTAACTAGTTAGTAATATTTTTCAGCACTCTCAAAACAAGTTTACTGTATGCTGCACATAAAAAGGTTGCAAAGAAAAAAGTATTTATTGTGACTCCTATGCTAATATTATAGGTTAAAAGTTGACATAGCAACA